ATATTCCTTCTCCTTGATTTTTCAAATTGCAGCATTTAGGGAATGCAAAAATGGAATTGCTCAGAGTAGCTGAATAGAAATACAGGCTGGAAATACCATTGCGGTGCGTCTGTCTAGTGTCACATTTTTTTAAAATACATACACATTTGCATCTCTCATATCCTTCAATTGATTGCTTCACTGAGTAGATATCTGATTCCCTCTTGAACTTACTGACACCATCTGCTTTGCAGTGGGCCATTCGTTTCACATATTCACCACTTTCTACGCAAAGTAACTATATCTGAACAGTGGGTTCACCATTGTCTTCTGAGCTTCAGTTTGCGAGCAGTTATGCCCCACAAATATTTGTGTGTGTATATATACGTACAATATATCTATTAAAATATTTATTTAAATTATACATATATATTTATACCCACATAAGAGCTGATGATTTCTGTTCACTGCTCGATTATATCTGCACAAGAAAGTGCTGCTTGATAATGCCTTTGGTGAGAATAATGGGCCACAAGGATTAGACCCGTGTATAATCTTTAGATTTGGTATAGCGCTTTTCACACCGAGATTCCATCCCAAAGCACTTTATGTTTATTACTATAAAGTGCAGTCATTGTTATTTTTGGTCAAGCAGACAACCTGTTGAGACTCAGAGGTGAAAGTGCTACTAACTGAAGTCATTTTAACATTATTTGTTTTGTATTTTCTCTTTCACTTTCTTGAGATTTTGTTCTATCCTCCAAAAATATTCTAGTACTAAAGTTCTGTTTCAGGGACAGTGAGCTCTCTCTTTAACTCAGGCCACCTTTAGCACCTCATTTGTTATCCTAGCTGAAATTGGCTACCTCACACACACCACGAATCAAACCTCACATCCTCCCGATGTGTATAATTCACCTCTCAGAAAGTGGATTTTAACAACTGAGCTGCTTTGGCAAATTATGGTGGTACATCTGGCTGAAGAGACCTTTAAGGATTTCTAAAGGACTTGCTTTGTGCATCATATTCAAAGCCCGGCTCAGTTGGTAGCCCTCTCGCCTCTGAAATCAAGCTCTATGTTGGGACTTTGATCTCATGGTCAAGGGGGAGCACTCCTTTGTCGGCAGTACCATCCTTCATATTAGATATTAAACCGAGATCCTGTCTGCCTCTTCAGATAGATGTTAAACATCCCATGACCTATTAGAACAGTGAAGGGACTTTCTCGCAACAATTCATCGCATAAAATTGGTCACTCACTTCATGATTATGAGACATTGCTGTTTACAAATTGGCTGCCATTTCGCCTACAAAATACACTTTACAGTAAATCTGTGAAGCGCTTTGAGACATTCTGATGATACACTAAGGCTCTATAGCAAATCCAAGGATTATTATCACTATATATCAGCACTAGTGTTCATCCTAACAGCAAGCTAGGCAATATTTGATGTTCTCTTCAACTTATTCTGCTGTTTGTAAAATGTAAATGCTACAAATGGCATAGCTGTGTGTCACCACTATCACTAGTTTTGTTTCTAAGATTCTCGCAAGAATTAATTTCCCCCCTCCACTTCCCTCCCTCCCACCCCACGATATTTACAGATTATGGCTCTCAATTTATTATTTGGGATTTTGTGAGTATGAAATGGCTGTCTTGCAGACCCTGAAATTATTTACAACTCTCACAGAATATATAGGCAATAATGGATTCCTGGAGATAGTTTACAAGATATAATCCAATCCAGGGGGTTGATTGCCTTATTTATAATAATGTATACCTCAGGGTGATTTTCAATCCAATTCAGCGATTTGAAAGAGTTTTCCACTCTCCCCCCTCACCACCCCCAAATGCTGACTGCCCCCTCGTATTCTCAGGTGTGAGCCTAGACAATTAGTTATTTTGTTATTCGATCTGGAAAATGGTGCAGGGGGCATGGGGTCACTAATGAGCGTGTGTATATTATGTTTATTTTTTTAAGCATATTCCCCACCGTCAGCTGAGATCAGCTGGGTTAAAATTCGCCAAGGATCAACTAGCCCCAAATTGGACAGTGCCTTTACCAATATATTGGGGTCATATATTGGCTCATTTGTATTGATAATGGATATTTGGGAGTGAGTTGTACCCTTTGACTGAATTGAATGTTTGAGACAGGGGTGGACTGGTTATACTGGAAATTGGGAAATATACCATGGGCCCCCTTTAATGATTCTCAAGCACCCCTGTGATTGGCTTCCATTACTTGTTTGGGGGAGTCAGCCAGGTGTCTGACACATGCAGAAACCCATCACCATGTTTAAGAGTTTCCAAACCAAACTGAGAATTCTGTGCATCCCACCTACACATGGGAATTCCAGAGATAGATTGTTGAAATGGAAAGCACTCCCATTATTTACCACCCCAGAGCCTGACGACTGGGTGAGTGGCAGCTCAGACCAGCCAGTCATTGCCCAGAGCCTGTCCCCCCTGATGAGTGACAACAAAAGCAACAACTTGCATTTATATAGCAGCCTTCATGCCGGGTAGTGTCCCGGAGTGCTCGACAGTGGCGGAGTCTGACACCGAGCCAGGGGTAGAGGGAGGTGACCGTAAGCACGATCAAAAAGGAAGGTCTTTAGGTGGGATTTGAAAGTGGGGAGGGAGGGGGCAAGGCTAGAGGATTGAGGGGAGAGTTCCAGAGTTCTGGGGCGTAGTGGGTGAAGCCATGGCCACAAATGGTGGAGCAGAGGGGACGAGGGACAAACAGGAGGACGGCGCCAGTCAAGCGGAGGCAATGAGGAACTAACAGTGGAGTGTGTTAAGATATGAGGTAGCGAGTGGCAGTTGCTGGGGAGGTTGATCCCACAGGTTGTCAGGTACAGGATTGGTTTAAATAGCATTATCAAATTTTAAGCAAGTTTGACTGGAGCTGAATAGAATCATAGAAATGTACAGCACAAAAGGAGGCCCCTTGCGTCTTTGCTGGCTCTTTGAAAGAGCAATCCTTTCAGACCCTCTAATATGCCTTTCCCCCCATATCCCTGTAGCTTACTCCTTAGATATTGATCTAATGAATGAATGGAAAGAATCTTACTGATTCATTTTGGTTTTTTTTGGAGGTTGCAATGAATATTCATGGCGTCACACTTGCACTAATGTAATGCCAGGAGTCTACATGTGCATTAGTGTGACAGCATGAGTGTACACATCCACTAATGTAAGTCCACACCAGTGTAACACTATTGGAACTCATTGGGGTGTAATTTGCAGGATGCAGTTAATATTGAATCCATGAACACACTGACCTCCTGTTGGGAGCTTTCTTTAACCGCAATCTGATTTCATGGAGTCTATGTGAGACTCATCCAGGTATAAGCAGGATTCCCTGTAACCAGCTTTCAGTATTTGTTCTCTGAGTGAAGCCCCAGCAACCTCAACTGCAAACCATTTAAAGTAACTCCTAAATCATGTTATTGTGACAGATGGAAAGTAATGGCTGGCCAGCCCGCAAGGCAGGAATATGATGTATGAGTGGACAGAGACTCTGCTCTAATCAACTGCAGATTCTTTCTAGTTAAAGCTGCATTAAGGAGTATTACCAGAAACTCAGAAGCATTCCGTCAACATCCGCTCAAATTATAGATGGAGAGAATGGAGCTGGGGTGCACACTGATAGCTGACACTGGCACTCATTTAAGTACCATTTAATTTGTTTTCTGTCACCTCCTCTTGGCTGGCACTTGGTAACGTGACTTACACAGGGAGACGGGGCTGGCAATGAGTTACACAGAGAATACATAAAAATATGTATATATAGAGAAAGCAGGTATACTGAATGAGGCAGTTGCAAACACAGGTATCCTGTGACTAATATCTACTCCAGATTTTTGGGGGGCGGTCAGTCAGGTGTTCAACACGTGCTTAAGATTATCTAAACTAAATTGTGAATTTCATATATCCCACTAAACATGGAAATTTCCGTATATTCTCCAAGAAGCATGCAAAATGGCAAGTGGCAGATTGAACACAATCAACAATACCCCCCGTTTCCATCTAGTTCCCCTTTGTATTGTACACGTCAGTACAGTTGTCAGGAACTGTAGGGGTACAGTTGTCAGGAAGCAGATGTTAAAAAAAAATCCACACGCTAAACGATAAATTAAAATTTTGCCTCACTCGGCAAAGGACAACATCTGTTGAGGTCAGTGTATCCGAAGGTAGCGGGAAAACCATATTCTTCTGAGAGATTGGAATAGTGGGCGGACGTGCCAAGATCCAGCACTGGGAGAGAGAATATGCGGCTGTAGTGCAGCAGTCACGGAACCTTCTCCCCTCATGAATGGCAGAGGTGTTTGTTGAATAAAACTCATCGTGAAGAGCCGCAGTGCAAGAGTTTGGAATCTGTCCCATTGCTCCAACTCACACACAGCCTCCAAAACATCTGCCATTTATAGGCTGCACAGCCGTCCCACCGCTGAGCTTCTCAACCTCAGTGGCTTGCTGGGCAGGCGGTCAGCATTTGCAAGAGGAAACGTGGCCACACATTCTGTGCCTGCAGAGAGTCGATTTTCCAACCTGCATTAGACTCCGGGACAGGGGAATCATTAGCTTGTAGGATATTGGGTCAATCTCCAGGAATGGGGGGAATCAGCAGAGTAGGATACAGGGACAAACTCTAGAATGGGGTGGATCAGTGGTCAGTCTCTAAAACTTGGTGGAGAGGTTAATCAACGGTAGGTAGAATATGTAGAATATAGTTTCTGTCTCTAAAACAGTGGGATTGAGAATGTTTAAGTTATTATATGTTGTGGGATACAAGGTCAGGCCACTGCAAGCTAAAAGAAGTTGCACAGGTCACTTGGATCAGACTGGTCCAATAAAGGGTATGTACGTAAGATTGGGTTTAGGGTACATTGGTTGAATACAGAGGGCACATTAATGTGCTTCTGCCCCTTGTTGTACCCGACCAGCTCTGGCACGTCTAATTCTGCTGAAACAAACTGGACCAAAAAGAAATGCTGTACTCTTCTTGTTTCAGGCGCGGCGCTGCAGACCCAGAGGAATTTCAGCTACAGCCTCACAGCTCATACGGTGACCGCGAGCCTCCTCGTTACATGGGACCCCATCATCCGCCCATGGGGTACCCGTACAGAGGGAATTACTCACGGACCATCTCTGACAGCCGTCTGGATCCCAGGATTCCAGATTACATGAACAACACCAGAAGGGAAGCAGCTTACAACCCACCGGCCCATTACAAGGGACCCCACAGGCACGATGTGCCCCCATCACCTCCCCAGACATTTAAAGTGCTTCGATACCATGACCAAAACAAAGCTGCATACCGGGAGACGAGCCCCGAGCGATACAGAAACCCTTACCAGGACGGTCGCCATCGGGACCCCAGACAAAAGAATGGAATGACGGCCGCTGTGTAGCTAGAGGTGGTCCACAGAGCAAAGAGGTTGCAACAAACTTGATGCGACAAGCATGGTCTTTCGCTGCTGATTTCTGCTTGTTTCAACATCGCACACAGGGAAAGAAAGTATCGTGGCTTAGCACATTCTTTTGGTTTGGGCCTATTCAGATACGAATGGCCTTTCCTTCCTCTGTAAATTGAGTTCTCTCTTCTTGCTAATTGGAAACAAAATTATGCTGCTTAACAAAGCTTGTTTGTTAAGGTTTTCAACCACAGAAAGAAACCAATTGGAAGCAAAAAAATCAATTGAGGATGGTCCTGGGGCATTGCACACGTGGGCGTTGGGTTTTCTGCTAATCGATCACAAATAGTTTCTCAATGAACCCAAAGTGAAGGTCTACGATCGTTAATCCTCTTTACCGAACTTCATCACGCACCAAGGACAGTGAGCAAACTGACAGCAGACGCCAGTGACTAACACCTCCCCGTCAAACTGAAGCAGCACATATTATAAATAACAACTGATACCTGGGAGGGATTTCAAGGCTATAATCTCATTTCAAGGTTCAGATGACTGTTATAAACCACAAAAGGACATTATCTGAACCTTTTGATTCAATTTCTATCTTGTAATCATTCTCAGGTATCCATTATTCTCTCTATAATAACATTTTACATATTGTGATTCCCCTGCTGTTCCTTCAAGTGGGATAACCTTGAATTATTGTATGAAGGAATGTGCATTGCTGTGATCCCTTTGAGTGCAATGCCAGAGATAATCGACAAAGCCAAGGTCTAGCAACTGTGAACAGAATTTCAGAACCAACACCATAAGATTGTGAGCCACTGTGAGCCTGACCTCACCCACCCTTAATTGTTCATTCCTTTCCAGGTATAAGTCAGCACTAGGTGCTGAAAACATAATGGGAGATTTTCATCTGCTTGCATTGTCCTACAATTGGGCCCCACGTCTAATCTGCCAAATTGTACAACAGACTTGGAATGAAAAACTCTTGAGTGAGACTGGATGAAGAGCAGCCACATGCAAGAAAGCGATTGCCCCCATTTCCCACTCGTTACCAGCGGTGCTGAGCAACGGTTAACAGACACAACATCAACTGAGTGTTCATTAAGGTGGCCATTTGTCAGCGATGTATATTCCTCCCTCTCAGTTACTTCTGCAAGAGTCAAGGCCATGTTATGCTTCAGCAGAGCTTCCCACTCTCTTCTCCTTCACAGAAGAACAAGCAACAAGTAGTGATTAGAACAGAGCTCCAAAAAGCTTATATTCAAAGGGGGAGAATCATCAACACTGAGGTTCAGTGGACAAAGCTTTCTTTTGCGTGACACAGTGACGAAATTCACATTGAAATATGTCATTGAATCTCTTCAGTATAGCTCATTAAGTGTCTTATTCATCCCCAGCCATTGAATTTGTCCCTGCTCCACAGACGACTGGATATTTCCCCTGTCGTCAGCACGGTCCTCTTCTGATATCCGGTTCTCGCCACCGAAGTAATTCTGCCGTCACAGATGCAAAGCGAAAATAACTTTCAAAGTGGATGTGTTCCACCCACAAAGCGAATGAGATAAACGACTCGCTGCTCCACAGAGATTATCGTCCACCACTCACTGTATAATGACGTCACACTGCTGGCTAAAAATACACAGGAAAACCGTAAATGCCAATATGCCTGGTCTTTTATAATTAAGAGATTTAATTAAAAACAGATATTCAGCAGTAATTAAACCAAAGATTGTTTTTTTTCTCTCTCTCCCTGTTGACAATCACTGAAAGCGCAGAGTGCCATGTAATTTGGAGCCTAGAGTTGACCTTTAATGAACCACCATCCTATATTTTTAAACCTCTTTCTTGTTTTGTCCATTTCCTGTCCATCTCTCTGCAGCCTGCTCTCAAGTCTGTTGCTGTCACTGTTAACTGCCCACCGGAATGCTTCTGCCTCCCTTCTCACCCCCACTCCTTTCATTTTACTTCATCTCTTTTGGAAGGTGTCCTCATGCTGTTTGGTGGTATCCCCACAATGGCACAGTTATGTGGAGCTCACTACATATCCTAGTGCTCTCAAGTGCTTTGCATGGAATTCCATCTAACTGCATCATCCATGCCACTCTTGGAACCTTCATTTTCTGCTCTTTGAGTACCAGCTGGTTCTCGGAACAAACTCCAGGAACCATTCCCTCCACCTCATTTCTCATTGCTGGTTTCATGATGATTTGAACGGACTTTGGCTCATTGTGCATCCTGGGATAAATCATGCCACAGGCAGCTTTCATTATGTGATGGGGGGTTTCCTAATGGTGAAACAGACAGCATGAATTAATTGTTGCTTGTGGTTTCAGTAACCCAGAAACTCATTGATGTCATTTTTTGCAGAGTGAACTTACGACATCAAGAATGAGTGTGTGTTTTTGTGTGTGTGTGAGTGAGAGAGACCAGAAAGTGACTGTTTCAGTTAGATTTTGGTACAGTATTTTGTTGACTAGTTTGTTTGCAGTCTTGTGGACTCGGCCACTGATTCTTTCCAGATGGCATCTAACCATCAGGACCTGTTGTAAGGAGTGGATTCTTACCAGGACCTTCACCTATAATACAACAGGCTTTCCATGTTATTTCATCTTTTATGCACAGGCATATATATTATATATAGTGTAGATTAATAAGATGTAGGCATCAAATTGCAGGTTGAAATGTAATCGAGGATGACTGCAATGGAAAGGAGGGGCCCACCTGCTTTATGCATAGAATAAAATAGTAATTGCAATACCTTGATGTAATGAGGGGTGGGGCTATAGTCACAAAATATGCACGTGGAGTTTTGGATAGTTTGGCATGGGTTGGCTGCAATACAGTCATTCCAATGAGGAGTTGAAACATTTCATCAAATTATGACCTTGGAGGGACTCCAGTCTAAATTATTCTCCGTCTGAATTCAACCAGTTGAGGGGTTCAGATACGTTTCGCCATGATAATGAAGCTGAAGCCTTTGTAAACATCCCCTGAGTTAATGAGATCTCTGCCGTCTGTCTTCTTCCATGCAAGTCACCTCTAGGTATTAGGCAGTCTTGAGGAATGATGGAGCATTTCATCAATATAAGTCGATTACAATTGGTTTTGTTTGAATTTATTCAGAGTGTCTGCCTTTGTTCTGTGCATTTTTGCTTTCTGCTTTACGGCACTTACTAATAATTAACAGACCAGGTTGTTGTTTTTCAACAATATTCTGTAAGAGCAAACATTTAGATGCTATCGGGGGTTGGGTTCTTTTGCTTCTTTTGCTTGCTTACTGCTGTGTATTCTCAATTTCGGGATCTGTGGGCATGTCTGTAATTGGTCTTGCTGATAGTAGGAGCACCAGCACTGCAATCGACCACGCCACAGTCTGCCAATTAAAAATATTAATTTTCACTAATCTTTTATTAATGTCAAGCAGAGCAGCACTCCTGCTCACCCAGCAGGGCTGCCATTTTAAATGCAGGCAGCTGAGCACACCGTAGGTATAAAAGAGATGAAAAGAAAAAACATGAATGCTCGGTGTTGGATATAAAACCGGGACGTGCCTGAAACACACAGCAGGCTGTACAGTATCTGAAAGAGGACAGGTGTTGGCCCTTCGTTGGAACCGTACTGATGAAGAAGGGTCATGGACAAAACACTGAGCTATCTTTCACTTTGAAATGATGAACAGACTGGATTGTGCGTCCCACACTTCTGCCATCTGACCTTGTTTCCCGGGTAGCGTGTTGAAATGGTGACCGACGTCACAAGCGTACTGTTTGTGTCTGTCGCTCCAGCTGTTCTGTAGGAAGGTAGATTACAAGTGAGCTGGAACAACGCTTTGGTAAACAAAAAGGATGAGGATACTGCAATATCCCCTTGTTTAACAGTAACAACCATTAGCAATAGGTATATTGTGCCCACAATCTAATTCTCATTGATAGACTAGATGTATCATGGCCTCCAGCCCCTCCAACCTTGGATCACACATGGCGTGATTGCCACTTACACAGGAAGAGCTGATTATTCTACTTACTGCACGTGTGAATTAAATGAAAGTTACATCTTTCTCAACTTTTGTGTCAGTTGAATATTCCACCCCACCCTTCCAAATAGTAGTTAAGCTCATTGATCAGGTTCCTCACGCAAATATATAACTTTTACTCCCAAAATGAATGGTTTGGATTTTCCGTGTGGAGTGGAGAGGAGAGTGTCCTCACAGTATAAGTGTCCTGAACACCATGAGTTGCTGCAATGTGTTCACAAGAGAACTCAGGGTTTCTTCATTGTGATGTTTGTGGAGAACAGAATTTGAACACTATTTGAGAGTTTTCAGATGAACAGATATTTGGGCAGTAAAAATTCAAACCTCACATACAGTACAGTTTTTTTCATCAGCCAGATGCCTGATACATGAAAACCCATCATCATGTTTAAGAGTATCCAAACCAGGCTGAGAGTTCCCTGAATGCCACCTATGCACTTTCTTCCCTCACACCCCCACCCCCAATCCACCCTGCTTATCTGAATAGACACATTTCCGCAAAGGCCAAGGCTAAGGGACCTCAGATGTACTGGGTTACTGCTTGAGTTTAACCAACTAAAACCGCACAGCTTGCCATTGAGAGCACTGCCTGGTAAGCTTTCCCACTTCTTGGCCGGTTAGGACTACCTGACCAGTTACATCTGACCAATTGATAGGCTTGTTCCAGAGAATTGTTTCCATTACCCCTCAGAGCTGAATGCCTAGAAGTATTTAAAAGCAAGTATGCCTGCTGTACAGTGCAATGATCCTGACTCAGATCAGTGCCAACGTCACCAGCCAGAGTGTTTTGATCATGGTTATCTTATGTGCACAAGTGCCAGATAACACAAGCACTCGCGAGCCTGGGATCTAACTCATCTCAAATGAGAAAATTGTTCAAAGTTTATTTTTAAGTTGTGAAACTTCAAATAGATTGGAGACGGTTTAGAATCTTTTTAAATCAAAATAGAGCGTTGATCTAGGGTGAGAGAGCATAGTTGTATGAATTGTGAGCTTTGCTTGCTGACAAAAGTTCATTTGAAAGAACTAATATCTAATACGCATCATAAAACTCCGGCATAAGCAGTAAAAACTGACTTCTGTTTGAGGTGAGGTTTACATCTGAGGAATCGTTAGGCAGTTTGCTCAAAACATAGACTGTCTGGCCCAAGCCCATATGGGTGGCAGCCTATATTCAATTCATTTTTTTACAGCATCAGCAGTGCCTTTTTAGTGAAAAGGATCCCAGATCAGAGCGGCGCTTTTCTGAAGTGCCTTTAAGAGGACGCAGACTCTGTGATAATGCAATATTTTACACTTCAAGTGATCTGGGTTAATGGGGCCATCTTCCCAAGTGAAGGATGTCACCGCACAGTTTGACAGAAGAAACAAAGGAAAAAGGAGTTGGGAAAAAATCCTCCCAGTGCCAGCAATGGATTACGCAAGAAATGCACAGCATCCCCTAGTGTCCAGATTGGAAGTAGCACAGTCTGAAGGTCTGAATCAACAAGCCTGAGCCTTCCCCAATATAAGTAAGCATTACAATTGCAATATAAAATTCAATGGGAAGGGATGTGTGCCAGAGCTGCGGATTCATTTCATGCTGAGATGCATTGCCCACCGGCAAGCTTGCAGGGAATTCAAAACGACGCCTGTCGGATGTCAAATGACCAACTAGTGACTATCCTCCTTGGGCGGTAAGCGGGATCTTGTTGGAGCTGAACTGGCTCCAAGGTGACATGCCTGGCAATGGAATGTCAGAATCGAGCCAGCCCTCTGTAGTCCAGTTCCTGAGCCAGGCGGGTCCGCAGTATTCCAGGGCACTGCTGATGAAAGCACAAGCAGTCTGGCTCATCGGCAGGACTTGGAAGGGCAGACCAGTCACTGGGGGCAGGGAGTCATCCCACTCAGCTTGTGTTAACCAAACAAGCCAAAGCCCTAATGCGTAGCATGGTTCTAGGTGACAAGCAGTGGGAAAGCTTGCTGGACAACAATATCAACGACAAGCTGCACAGTTTTAACTGGTTAGACTCCAGCAGAACTCCAACGCACACTCCGGGTTCCTCGAGCCTTGGCTCTTGGCTCTTGCCAACCTGCACCTAATACTTTCCAGAATTAGGTAAGCAGGTTGTGTCCCTCCAGGGAGAGAGTGCGCATTCCAAGATCTATCTCTGGGATTTCCATGTGTAGGTGGGATGCATGGAAATCTCAGCTTGGTTTGGATACTCTTAAACATGGTGATAGGTTTCCGCCTGACCAAAATAAAAAAACAACTGCCTTTGAAAACTCTTAATTTATCATCTCCCTTCCCTATCCACAGCTCGGAGGATCACATGTTTTAATTTAACACAAACAAATGCGACCTTCAATTTACCGAAAACAGCAGTGAAGCAGCTCTTCGCACATATTGCACAGACCCATTGTCAATTCAGATTATGCTCCTTATTATAGAGCCTTTCATTGATCTCTTGTTGCAATGTAAAGGGGGGTAATAGAGGCTGCTCACTGTATTGTTGACAATATTAAGTGCAAATCTTGAGTGCTCATCACCTGGCTCATTGCTTTGTAACCAGGGCCAGGCCTCCTCGCTAACCTGAAATATGCAGAATACTAAATAGTTGATTGAGCTACCTCTTGAGATGGAAAGACACAATTGGGGTATTTTGCCTTTAAAAGAAAAGGACAAACAAATGCAGAAAAAGAAGATTGAATCCATTATATATTAATAAGTCCTCAGTCTCTTAGCAGCTATTCTCTGTGGGTTAGCGCAGGGCCCACAATTACCGAGGCAGCGACTGCTATATTTGTACTGTAGAACTCTTTGTGGAAGTGATTTTACAATATTGCCAGAACACTGGCTACCGTGGAAACGGCCGTATTGCGACACAGCTGGAATTCAGCTTTAGA